GAGACCTTCTCTCAAAAAGAGATTGAAGGTTTCTTTCGAATTGTCCATTTACATGTCACATCAAGGTGGATCAGCTAGTCTACATACTGAGAAAATATAAAGATTAATAAAGATATCTTATTTTCATATATTGTTAGATCTAGCCTCAATCACTCATGAGACAAAGCATTAAAAAATTGCCTACTGGAAAATAAAAAGGGAACCTCTCAAACTTAATATGGGCCAGAAAAAATTCAGGGAGTTTTTAAGAAATCCAAATTCATGTATTGTAATATTTCAAAATTTATACCAGATGTCTGACCTCACCTGGAGAAATATTATGCTAGTACTTAGCTAAGTTTTAAGGTAAAATATCACCCAAAAAACAATTTTGGAGATTTTTCTATTAACCATGTCCCAATAACACAGAATAGGGACAAACCTGATAGTCTGTCTGAAGCACAGACAACCCCCAAAACAGATATCCAACAGGTAAATAGATGCTTAAAAAATAATTTTAGTAAGCCTCTAGAAAAATCCTACTGTTTCATAGACTCAAAAAGACAATACACACCACCCTAAATTGATAGAGGGTCACCCAATTTCAAAGGATTTCAGAAATTGGCATGATCCTAAACCAAATTTAGCTGTTACCCCACAATTTATACGGATATCAAATAAAAGAAATTTTAAAAAAACCTTACAGACAAAAAGAGATTAAAATGCAAATCCTAGCTCAAAGAAAAATAAGCTACCTGGATAAAAGTTTTACTCCTCGTTTAAGTTATAAACAGATTTGGAAGCTTCTAAACATTAAAACAGGGCCTTACTTCTAGCCCCTGTCAACAGTTTATCACTGAGAAAAATTACTCTGGAAATTATTATCCCTAAAATATTAGACAGACAGCCATAAACAAATCAGCTCAACAGCCAATAGCTTATTTCAATAAGAAATTTAACATTATAGACCTTTTCTTAACTTTAATAATATGAGACAATGCCCTACATACATCAATATTTTTAAAATTAGTAAAGCCAAAAATCATACATAATTATTAGAGCAACTCTTGCTACATTAAGATGTTCATACAATTGTTTCTTTATATGTAAAAATTATTTTGACATAAATCCCTCAAAATGTCATTGCTAGCTCAAGTCATACAAATTTTAAATTAAATCACTGTCTTAAACCATACTGTTGACTTCTTGTTTTTACTCATTAATATTTGAGATACTAACTCCCCATACTTAGGTCAACACTAAGTTGGATAACAATAATAATAGTTTTTTATAGATTGGTAAATAAAGAACTATTAATTTCTCTATTTCATCTTTTATTAATGGTGAAAAACAAAACATCTTCTCCAGGTTTATTTAGCATGTGTACTTCCTATATTGGATAGATGTCTATATTTTTCTCATGCCCCTAGTAAAGACCGCCACTTCTAACTTTAAAACTCTGTCTCTAGCCTCATCCCAAATTAAGATAATTAAGTTTATCTAGGTCTAATTTCAAATTATAAAATTTTATATACAGCTTATTATATTCTTCATTTTTGGCAATTCTGTTAAAGTCAAAACCAAGTCATAGTAAAGGCTAACCTTCTATTTAACATGGTTCCTTTCCAACTCATTAACATTAAACTTAACATAACTAGTAGATCACCTTTGTCAAGTTTATGACCAGCTAGAGATAATAAATCCTTTCTTATTATTTAAATACTTGTACTATTGTCTATAACTTAAACTAATGATAATATGGGTCTATTAAATTTTATTGAATAAAGAAAGGGGGAAAACAGGACCCAATATGCACATACTGGATCATACAAATATTTCAAAAATTTTCTTAAATTTATAATATTAAAAGTCTTACTGCTGCTGAACATGATTTAGATAGTTAAATCAGATTTCAAAGGAAAGTTTAAACCTGTAATCATGGAAATGACTGAAAAACCTGGCACGGGAAGTTAAGTTTCCAGCTGCAGAGTTTACAGCCATACAGCTTCACAAGCTTGTCAGGTAAGTAAAAAATTATGAAGAGACTCCTGTGTACCCATCTCTCAGGTCCACCTTTAATGTGCTTTGCAGTGTGGACTAGAAAGTCCACCCATGTAACTAGATTAATTATACTGACTATAATGGTCAGTTATACCTATATGTTGAGCCTAAGGTAAACAGGCTGTCTGGAAATATCTTTTGAGGAAAAAAACAATATATGAGAAACCTAAGCCAGCCAATCATGCTGGTCCTTAGAAATTAAGACTATATATCTGGACAATTATCAAAATAGAAAGATTGTTGAAATATAATTTTCCTATATAGGCCAGTTATTTACAGACTAGCCTCCTAGAATTGACAAGGACAAGTGCATAAGTTTTAACCCTCAGCCAGATGGCATCCAAAAAGATGTCTGATGTTTGACTTCTGCATCCAGAATTTTTACATTACTGACAGGCCTAAAAGACTCCTTAAATGTGAGAACTAAGAGAAAGGATGATCAAATATCCTGTAACCTATAAAAAATACAACTTGCCTAATTTTGTCACTAGTTATGATAGAGGAAAAGGGCATTGATCCTTCATCAATGTTCCTTTGTCCTATTGCCAGCTGGCACGCTGAAGTTAACATTCACGCTTTGAAACAGGTGCATGCCAATTTACCAGACCTGGGCAAGCTCTTGATCTCATGATCCTTGAAGTGGCTACTTTGAATATTATTCATTTTTTCTACGATTACAGCCTTTGTGGCTATGTCTTAAAACTTACAACATGTGAATTTTCTTAATAATTTGACTTAAACTACTTCCAAGATCCTTCACAGTCTGGTAAGTGCTGATGAAAGAATTGGAACTAAGTCGAACATTCTAGAAGCCACTATAATGAATAATGCAAATGATGCTTATGGTTTGAGGAAAGGCTTAAATGTCATGCCAATTAAATATATCTGTGTTACTATGGCCAAACACAATGGTCCCAATAAAATTAGGAAAAGATTAAGAATCTTCTGATGAGTATTTGGCAGAGTAATATGATAACATGAATCTTTCAAAGCTAATTAAATGACTTTAATCCTAAAAATATGTTGAAACATTCTATATGATGTTATTGGAATGATATGTTTTCTACTAATTCCCTTTGTGTCTCAATAGTAAGTCATGACAACCTCGAACCAAGAATCCAGTGACTTGAAGATATAATTCCCCAATTTCCCTTTTATATTAAGAAAGGGGGGATATGTTGGGAGCCACTCTGGACAGGAGCTAAGTACACACCTCTAAGTCTTGAGTAAAGAGGTACTGAACTGGTATTGCACCCATTGCAATGCGTTTGGGCCTTACCTCTGCTCAGATAAAAGAGATGCAGCTCCAGGAGTGGGCATCACCCAGTGGGGTTGGATTACACCCACTTGTTTGTTGTAACCCTACCTCTTGCCTCATTTGAATGGCTCCTCTCCAATAAAACTGAGGTTTGAGGTATGCTCCCTCTCTTTCTTGCTTGCCTTGCCCTCCTTGAGGGAGCTCTGGCTGAGGAGTGGTCACTGAACCCAAAGAAAAGTTACTTACTGTGTCTGTGTCTTTATCTAGTCAGCCCAAATTCACTTGGAGTGAGTGACCCTGACCCATTTAGTTGTGTGTTGAGACACCCATCTATTATTATAAGGGAATAAAAAGTTAAACAATCATAATAGCTAACATTTTTTTTTAGTAGAGTTTGCCCTTGTTATCCAAGGGGTAATGATTCCAGGACCCTCTCTAGATACCAAAATCCACAGAAGCTCAAGTTCCTTATGTCAAATGGTGTCATATTTACATGTAATCTATACATATCATCACATGCCCTTGAAATCATCTCTAATAGCTTATGATACCTAATACAATGTAAATGCTGTCGATAGTTGTCATACTGTATTGTTCAGGGAATAAGGACAAAAAAAGTGTACATATTTGTTCAGTACAGTTACAATTTTCTTTCCAAAATTTTCAATCCATGGTTTGTTGAATCCACCAATGTGGAATCTGCAGATACTGAGAACCAAGTGGACTCACTTGGGCACTTGTCTTCATCACAACCCCATGATGCTGCTACTATTATCACCCCCAATGCCTTTTAGGAATGAGGGAAGTGGGTACAGAGAGGATGAATAACTTGCCCAAGGTCACTCTTACCGTAAGCAACAGAGCTGGGATTCAAATTGGCCCTCTGAACTCTGGAATTGTTAATGGCTGAGAGCCCACCTGGCAGGACTGGTGGTGCACAATGAAGCTTGCAGAGGGTGACTGTGCAGGAGAGCACCCAGCGCATAGCGAGTGTTCAGTAAATAGTAGTTACTGTGATCTTATCTCCAGTGCCCAAAACCTGGCATGCACTGCATGTGTGCAGTTGAGATAAACCTCAGTCAAGTGTTCCTGGATTCCCCCAAGCCCCACAGATGCTGATGAGCTCACTTGCCCTGGGGAAACTCCTACACTGGTTAAGTTTTATTTTCCCTTTAGTAATTCAGAGAGCACAGTCATTCCTGGAAAAGCTATTACCACTAACTAAAGGGCAAGAGTGTGGGAAATCTTGGGACCACAAACTTGAGCTTCAAACTTAGTGGACAGTCTGTGGTGAGCCAGTGTTGCATCAGGAGCAAGACCCCTCTCAGCCCAGGGAGCTCCGATCTCTTCTCCAAAACAGGCTCAACACAGGAGCCTATGCAGCCCTCCAGGGCTCATCCATGGCAGCCTGGCATAGAGTAAAGAATGGGGAATGTAGCCAGGTCATTGTGTAGGGAACGTCAGGTGGGACTCAGTTTCCATATCACAAGACTAGGAAGTGGAACCAGATGTGAGCAGCTTCCAGATGTGAGTCTAAGGTTCTCTGTTGGTTGGAAACTTCTCAAGACTAGAATGGAGACCCCTGCCAAGTTTGTCTCCTCAGCAATGTGGGGTCACAGACTACAGATGCCAGGGGAGGAGCTAGGGAAGTGGGATGGGGTTGCAGACACTTGGTTTGGCTGGCTCCTGGCCATTCACTCACCTCTTTTCTGGCCTCGGCAAACGGGGTGGCCCTTGCCATGTTCTGAGGTGTGATCCCGCTGACCCGGGTTCTGTAATCTGTGATCTCTCCCTCTGGCTGGATGAACTTGTCGTACAGCACAACGCCATAGAAGTTCACAAGGCTGCAGCGAGCCAGGCCACTCTCCCGGTGAGGACCCAGCCCCACCATCTCACAGTCCATGGCCACGACCTCGGGGCTGCCTGCCATGCTCCGTGGGGTCTCTCAGATGTGCTACAGGGGCAGGGGTATGGAAGAGCTATCACTTGGGGCCAACAAGTCTCCTGGTGTCCTAGGCCACCACCCAGCTGGCCTGCACCATCTGCCCTGCCCTATCTCCACAGCTACCTGGCAACAGAGGAAGCTGGCCTCTTGCCACCCTGCCCAGTTCCCCTGGCCTGTGGGTCCCAGGCCCCTATCTTGCCCAAGAGGCTGGGAACTAGAAGGCCCCCTCTCACCACCTCCCAGGCCACTGTGGCCACTCAGTGTCCCCTTCTTACCTGCCTGCCTCTCCACCCTCCGCTCACGTCTGCCTCTCTGCTGCCACTTCGCAGCTACTACAGTTGCTCTGAACGGTGACTCATCTCCAACTCCAAGCAGGGCATCCCGACCCGTTTCAGTTTCTAGTGTTATCAAGGGAAGTCAGGGGCGGGAGGCAGCATGTGGGCTGGGCCACTCCTTCTCCTCAGCTGCTGGCAGGTGGGGAGCTGGCAGACTGAGTCAGGGCTGGTCGATCTGGACGTCCCTCCTCTGCCCCTGCCCTCCCCCTCTCAGATGACGCATCTGACGTGGATGGAGTGGATTGCAACATCTTTCTTTGCTTTCTCACCCTCCACCCAGAAAATAAACATCCCCAGCATTGGAGCCTGGGGAATGTCCTGCAACTTCTGGGGCCCGTTACCAGAATGATATTCTGTTTGGTCTTTTATGAGGGCAAGGCAAGCTGTTCTTGAGTTGTGGAGGCCACTACTTGGGAAGGGTGGGAGGAGGTAGGGGTGGAAAGGGACTAATCCCCACCCCCGACCAGGGAACGCAAGGAAGCAGCATTGGGACTCCATCGGTTCAGGGGTGCTTCTGTCCACCCTCCGTGGGCTCTGTCTTCAGCTGGGTTGATGTTGAGGACCAGAAGCAGGCATCGAGGGAGTACCACCAGCCCAGCCATGCTTCTTTGGAGCCACACTCATCCAGGCCGGAACATCTAATTCTTACAGGAGTGCCTGGCATGTAAAGAGCACTCTGTATTTACTGAATAAATGAATGAGCTACAACTGGGTCCAAAACTCAGTTTGTTTTGGTTTTTTGCTTGTTTCTTTGCGGTACTGGAGATTGAACCCAGGGGTGCTTTACCACTGAGTTACATGCCCAGCCCTTGGTTTATTTTTTTATTTTATTTTGAGACAGGGTCTTGCTAAATTGTTGAGGCTGTATTCAAACTTGCAAGCCTCCTTGCCTCAGCCTCCAGAGTGCCCGGGATTACAGGTGTGCACCACTGCACCCAACTTCAGACTCAGTTTTCCATGAGAAACACACGCATTGCACCATACACTATGGTGTGACTGATTAGAGCCACCATGCTCGCCTCCTACCTCACATCTATACAGAATAAACACCCATCAGTCTGATCTGGTTGCCCTCATTTTCACAAAGATTTGTGATTTGTAAGGGGACTTCCCTAGTTTCATGGTGTTTTTTTTTTTTTTTACCAAGCCAGATGTCTGACTTAGACTTCAAAAATAAACCAAATAGGAAGTATGTCTCAATGATACAGCATTGTTTCTGTTTGTTGCGCTGTTGGTTCAAGTCTGAACCAAAAAAAGTATTTTTGGTTCCCATCTGAGTGAGCAACTCTTGCTTGGATTCAGTTTGGGGACTTTCTGCTTTTCAAAAGCATAAAGGTTGTTCTGCTGATTTAGGGAGAAGTGAATCGGCATAAACAGGAGACAAAACTCTTGTTACTTTATGAGAATGTGCATTTAAAAAGTAACCCCTGCCAGCTGTGGTGGCTCAGCCTGTAATCCCAGAGACTCCTGTGGCTGAGGCAGAAGGACCACAAGTTCAAGCCCGGGGAATTTAGTGAGACCCTTTCTCAAAATAAAAAATAAAAAGGGCTGGGAATGTAGCTCAGTGATAAATGAAGGATATGAAAAACAACAACCCTCAGGGGTGGCGGGGGGACAAGAACAATGAGTCCCTGGGAGAGAAGGAAAACAATGGGCTCCTGACTTTCACAATTGTTCCCCCTGACTGCCCAACTGATGCATCGATGCATTCTTCGATGATTCAGTCTAACTAAACCCTATAAAATTTAGACCCCTATTGAAACTGAAGGACATGGACAATAGGCCCCAAGGAACTTCCCTAACTGTTCCCCTTATTGTCCTACTGCCCCTCCCTAAATAAGCCTACCACCAAAAACTCCCATGACTTGGCAGTGCTGCCAAATAGGGCCACCAAAAGGAACTAACTCCTCCCATGACCAGGCTCTGCTAAGACCCTATAAAACACAAATCCACGTGGTGGCCTTCTGCCATTTTCCCCTGAAGATGTGCCCCTGGGGTGCCGAATAAAGCATTGCTGGTCCATTGAGGTCTGCCTCTATTTTCTTTTTGTATTCACTTTCATGTGCTTTCAGTAACCATTGCCATATTCTCTCTTGAAAATATGCCCCTCCAGTGTTCGATAAAGCATTGCTGATCTGTTGAGGTCTATCTTCACTTCTTCTTCTTTCATTTTGCTTTCAGTAAAGCAGCCCTGGGTTTAATCCTCAGTACCAAAATAAGAATCCCCCTAAAACAAAACAACAACAACAAAAAAACCCAAACTCCCCCAAACAGTAAGCCCCTAAAGATTCTCTTGGAGATTTGTTTCTTCAAATTCCCATTGGACCCCAAGCAGTCAGTGGTGATCTTTAGACATCAACATCCTGCTGCAGACCCTGTGCTTCACCTGGTCCCAGAGCACATTCTTCTCCCCGTGGTCCTATACATGGTCTATGCAACCTGCTCCTGATCTGCATCTTCAAGTGCTTTCCCACATGGCCTCCAAGTTCGGCTTTTTCTCTTTTTCTGGGCTTGTTTTACCCATCAGTCCTCATCTTCCAATATTGCTGCAAATGGATATTCTCCATCTTCAGGTCCTGCTTTAAATTGTCCTTTGAGCCCTACCTGATCAAGTTTTCCAAAGTCTAATCTCATGTACTGTGTCACAGCTCTTTTCTGCTTAAAAATTTAGGAATTTCCTCACACTTCAACTCCCAGGCAGTTTTTCGGGCCCTCCCTCAAGTGCCCCCCCCCCCCAGCCCTTTCCAATCTCATTTTGAACCAGGCTCTGATCTACAACCTCTAGGTTTAAACCCACTCTCAGGGTTGCTGTTCATACAAGTGTTGACACCTCCCAAGCCACATGCAGGTCTTGTCACCTCCTTGAAAGATGCTGGTCGCTGCCCCAGTGTGAGAATGGCTAGAAGAACCAATAAAATCAGGTCTGCTTCAGAAGGGTATGTTCATTTGGGCACACTCCTTTCTCAGGGCCTGGGCATTTGCTGTCACCTCTTCTGGAAAGTTCCTCCCCCAGGTCATCTGCCTAGCTTACCTCTTCTCTGGCAGGTCTCTTCATGGAACCATCCCCGATCTCTTATTTAAAAATGCACTTCCATGGAGCTGGGGCTATGACTCCGTGGTAAGCACTCGCCTAGCATATGTGAGGCCCTGGGTTCAATCCTCAGCATCACATATAAATAAATAAAATAAAGGTATTGGGTCCCACTACAACTAAAAAATAATTTAAAAAAAAATGCACTTCCTAATCTCTTCCTGGCTTTTTCATACTAGAATGAGCACCCCCCAGAAACACCATGCATTCTACTTGTTCATTTAATTCCATTTGCCCTCTCTTTGGTTCACTGCTGGGCCCCTAGAACCTAGAACTCTAACTGGCTCAGGCTAAATTTTTGTACAAATGTCCTGCGTGCTCTGATGTTGGATCCAACTGCTGGTGATTAACAGCACTTTAGGGGCAAACGCCAACCCCAGTCAGGGTGCTCCCTGTTGTGGATGTTGCCAAATCTTGTTGGATCCGGTAGCAGGAGAGTGAGTCACTCAGCAAACTTGTCAGCCTTACAAACACACATCTTGGAACAGCTGCCCACTTGTCACGACTGTAGCAGGTAGAAGGCTGTCACTGCGTGGCCCTCTCTGCAATTCCTACCACTCAGAATCCCCAGGGTACAAGCCAAGCAAATGGTTTGTACTATGGTTTGGAAGTAGTTTGTGTCCCCCAAAAGTTCATGTGCTGGAAGCTTGGTCCCTAGCATAATGCTGTTGAGGTGGCACTTAGAGAGGTACAGTCTAGCTGGTGGTAATACAGCCATACAAGCACCTCTTTCACAAATGGATTAATGCTGTTTCTTGGGAATTCAAGGTCATGTGAGACTAGGTTAGCACTGCAAAAGAGGGTCTCAGCTTGATGTAGCCACCAGGTACCCCCATCATAATTGTACCATATAAGCTTCTCCCCTAGTCAATAAGATTCTTACAAAGAATGTCAACAGGATTTATGCAGAATTCATTGTGGTTTGAAGCTTCCTCTCCCTTGTAAATGACAGGTTTGCACCCAAAAGATGTGACAGACTGTCTCAAAAGAGCTTGCTGTGCAAAAGTTACTGTTTTCCTTGGTAAAAACTTGTGAAACCTGTCTGATCTAAAATATGGGACAAAGTGTAGCTGTTACATACCCACCCTCATGTAACCACTCCACTGAGTATAAATCTGAGAGAATTTCCAGACCCCAAGGTCCAGAAATTTTAGACATTAGCCCCTTTGGACCATTGTAGATTAAATAAATCTGATTCCTGAAAATTCCACAGGTGTCCAGCTTTATCTGTCCTAACTCAAGCTCATTGTCCTGCTTCCTGTCTTACCATGTGATCCATTCTACATGCAATCCTGCCATGGTGCTACCATCTGTCATGAGGCCCTCCACAAAGCTAATCAGATGCCAATGACAAAACCTTGAATCTCCAGATCTCAACTAAATAAACCTCTTTTTATAAAGACTTGGGTATTTTGTTATAGTAACAAAATAGGCTAAGAAAATTCACAATGGAGGGTCAGAGGCACTTTTCCCTAGAGGCAGCTCTGCCCTCTCCAACCCTGGCTGAACATGTATCTCTAAAATGTGCACATGGATATCTAAACTATATATTATAGGTTGAGTCACATGAAATAAAAACTTCAGCAATAATCAAAATCATGTGGTTCAACTTAATATATCTAAGACTGGGCCAAAACAGAGAGGTTGGGAATATAGCTCAGTTGGCAGAGTGCTTGCCTAGCATGCCCAAGGCCTGAGTTCAACCCCTAGCACCATATGAAAAAAAGAAAAGACTGTGCTAATCCATACACAATAAAAAAAAATGAAGTGAGTTAAAAACTGTGTGGGGCTATGGTTGTGGCTCAGTGGTAGAGTGCTTGCCTAGCATGTGTGAAGCACTGGGTTCGATCCTCAGCACCACATAAAAATAAACAGAATAAAGGTATTGTGTCTACCTATGATGAAAAAATTTTTTAAATGAACTATGTACAAATAAGCACTCAACATCACAAAATATAAAAACCCTATCATCTCACACTCATTAGAATAACTATTATTTTAAAAATAAAACAAAAACAGGTGCTGACAAACATGTAGAGAAATGAAACCCTATTGGGTGAGAATGTAAAATGGCTCAGCCACTGAATTAAAAAATTACCACAAGATTCAGCAATTTCCCTACTGGGTGTATGTCCAAAAAAACTTAAGAGGATAGCAAAGGGACATTTACACACTCATGTTTACAGCTGGCATTTTCACAATAATAGCCAAGAGTGATAAACAACCCAAGTGTTGCTAACAGACAGATAAATGGATTAACATGCTATGTGCAAATTATTCAACCTTAGAAATTCTGATGTGTGCTATAACATGGATAAACCTTTTCTTTGAGTATATTATGCTAAGTGAAATAATCCAGTGACAAAGACAAATATTGTATGATTCCCCTTATGAGAAATATCTAGTCAAATTCAGAGAAACAGAATGTAGGGTGGTGGTTGCCAGAGGTTGTGGGGGTAGGAATGGGAGTAACTACTTAATGGGGAGACTTTGTTTTGCAACAGGAAAAAAGTTCTGGAGATCTATTGCACAACAATGTGTATGTATTTAACACTATTTAACTGTACACTTAAAAATGATTAAGATAGTAAATTTTAAGTATGTTTTATCAATTAAAAATATTTTAAAGTACATAGTTTCAGTGAGATATTAAACTTGTGCTCTAAACAGGGCAGCTATAAAATAAAAATTGTAAGTTCTTTTTTTTTTAAAGAGAGAAAGAGAGAGAATTTTATTAATATTTATTTTTTAGTTTTCGGCAGACACAACATCTTTGTTTGTATGTGGTGCTGAGGATCGAACCCGGGCTGCACGCATGCCAGGCGACCATGCTACCGCTTGAGCCACATCCCCAGCCCCTAAAAATTGTAAGTTCTTTAGCTCTAAAAATTTTCTGCTACATTCCAGTGCATCATCTTGAAAGATGTCCTTGAGACCAAAGCACCCAGCAAAGTCTAGTGCCCACCCCAAATCCCCAACCACCCTAGGTTGAGAATTGATGGAAAGAACCATTTCACCCACTTTTCTAATTGTGTTTTATTCTAGAACAAATGGTTCTACAACAAAACAATTTTCAACAATACATTTCCCCACTATAATAGCTCCATTTTCCTTCAATCCACGAACCAATTTAAAATGCTACTTAGCTGTGTGTTTAGCAAGGTTTTCAAAGAATTCAGATGTCAGTCCTAGAGGTGGCTGGCCAGCTTCCTCCTCTGCTGATAGGGAGGAGCTGGTGACCACACAGTCTCTGACCTGGGTTTGTGCAGTGGAGCCTCGGCTGACGAGTGGGTGGTGTGGTTTCAGTAGTGTCCCTCCCTCCCTGACCCTGTGTTGCCTTGCTCTGTCATCACTTCCTGCACATAGTGATAGGATGCTGACAAGAAGCCAGCAATTGGTCGCCATAGACAAGATATACTGAAGCTCCACGCCCTGCCCTCATCCCAGCCTGCATGGGCCCAGGCCCCACCTGCTGGAACAGGCAAGCAAAGACAGCTCTCTCTGAGCCACTACTGTTCCATCTAGGACTCAGTGTCTGGGCATTGTCCTGAATGAACAGTAAGTAGCCCATTCACTCAGGACATGTGCAAGGCACCTAACAATGAATCCTCCTAACCACCTGTAGGCTTTATCACTCTGCCCATTTTACAGATGAGGAAACAGGCTCAAGGGTAAAGTCACAGGCTTGTCTGAAGTCTCAAAGCTAAGTGGCAGTAAAGATGGGGACTGTAAGTGGCAATAAAGATGGAGTTTGGAGGTCTGTGTCACCTGAGCCCTTGGTTGTCCTAGTAACCCAAAATTTCCCCTCAGAAAACATTTTTATAGGAATTAACCCCCCTCCCAAATCACAGTGTAACTGTTAATTATAAAACTGAAAGGCACCAGGTACAGGGACACTGTATAGCTGCCATACCTGCCCCAGCAACTATGTAGACTGTTTCCAAGGCTGGCACTTGCTCTATGTAAGGGCAGACACAACTCCTCAGGGGGGTCGGGGGTGGGGGCAAAATTAAACCATACTGTTTCTCAGGCTTTGTGTAAAGGAGCCTAGTGCTAGATGGGCAAAGAATTCCTGATTTGGGATAATAAATAAATATGCCAGTTCTTATCCAAAGCTTCTCTGCTCTCCCTTGTGAGCTGTGACCTGTGATTCTGATATCACGCTTGTGAAGGGGCCAAGGGAGGCTGTGGGCTCTCCTATTCTACTGCAGCCTAGAAGGCAGGGGACAGGCACCATGGGACATAAAACTTCTTACAATGGCTGTAACCAGGGTTCCAACTCAGAGATGAGAAGAAATGTCCCCTTTAGAGGCCTTAATTCTTTTAACTTCAGAACATATTTATTCTGAATCTGAACATGACTGTGGAGGAAGAGACAGCAACAAAAACTAAACTTTGTCACATAAATTAACTTAAGGGAACTCCAGGGACTGAACCCCATCCCCCCCACCCCACCCCCACCCCAGGGAGATGTTATCCCTGTAGCTAGCACAGCATGGTCCAGGACACATGGAGATGGAGAAGGCCAGTGACAGTCCACCTGCCATTTCCATGGAATCTATAAAGTGCCATCAGCAAAATCACAGGAGTCAGGAGAAAGAACTACCAACAGCCCTCAGGGACAGAGGGCTGTTATGTGGGCAGAGAGTATAGAGGACAAAGATCCTAGCTGCTGTGACCCTGGGACTGGTAGGCTGCATCCTGCCAGTCCTGTCCAGGATGGACAGCCCAGTGCTGCCCTGAACCCTACTTCCCACCCACCACACTCCTTTGTCTCATTCCCTTCCGTCCTGTACTCCCCCGGTGCCTCCTGTGGTGTCTTGGGCCAGGTCATCAGGCCAGTATTGGTCCTCCATATACTGCTCCATGTCAGTGCTGCTATCAGGCTCTCTGTCCTCAGGATGGGCCCAGAAGCTACTGGCCGCCTGCTGTTCCCACTGCGCCTCCACCAGCCGGTACAGCTCCATGGCTGTTGTGGCATCTTCCACGGATGAGTGCCCATGCTGGCCCACCTGTGGATGAGAGCCACTACATCAATGCATGGTGATACAGGCCTGAGAAGCAATGCCCACTCCCAGGGCTTTTTGTAGGGGCCCAAGAACACATACCCCAGAATGTGTTCAGAGAAGAGTTGGAACCTTAGCTGCCTACCACAGGCCACCTAGCTTCCATGAATATAAGACATGGTAAAAAGTCTGATTCAAGTGCTATAAGACCAGATGGATAATGAATATGAAGCACAGTGGGAGCAAGAGTCACCAGACCCCTGATCAAAGGTTCTATGTCTGATAGTAGGAGAAAAGAGAGCAACCTATGGGGATACAAGGACAGAGCCAGGACTTGGGTAGGGGACAGACCTGGAAGAGATCTGGAAGAATGTGGCTATCATAGTGACACTGGGAAAGGTTGTAGAAACACGAGCACAGCCTGTGTAAATGGGAGACCCATGCTTCATGCAACATGACCTGGACCAGAGAAGGAAGAATGGCAAGGTACCCCTGTGGCCTAGCAGGCATGGAGGCCAAGTGGGCCTTGCTCCCTTCCAACCACCCCTGTACCACACACCTGGATCTTCTTATGCAGCAACTGCAGGGCCAGGTCCTTAAGAGAGACTCTGGCTCGGGTGTGGAGGTCAGGCTGACTGAGCAGGTTTGGGACATAAGTGGTATCCCGAGTCTGGCTCCGAGGGTGGACGTACTTGAGGGCCTGGAAGTCATTGTGCAGCGCGTGGCCCACTACCACCTTGCCCTTCAGGAGCTTAAGGATCTGTAAATGGAGAGAGGAGGCATGAAGGCCCCATTGTCAGACTAGTAGCAGACATACCCTGGAGAGCCCTCAACAACATGTGCATGGTCCGCAGGGAGGCAGTACAGAAGAGGGAGACCATGCACCCTACAGTCAACCATGCTACCCCAAGTTTGAAACGAGGCCCTTCTTCTGAGTAAATTAGTGGTACACTTCAGTTCTCTGCACTGTACAAGGGGAACACTACCAATAGCAGGTTGTCAGGATTATGGGGAGTCATGGAGGGGTCAAGTCTTCTAGTCTCCAAATACAAGCAACTCTTCACTGCTGGCACAGGCTTTGCTCTCCGCCTAAAGACTTCACCATCAGCCTTCTCACCCCACTTGGCTCCTCCCCAACTTCTCTCAGGCTGCAAATCTCAGCTTCAATGCCGTCCTCAGGAGGCCTTCCCATGATTTCCCACTACCACTATTCTCTCCTTCAGGGGACACATTTTCTAATCACATATTTAGCTCTCAAGATGATCTAACCACCTCTTTCTCCCTGTAATTCCCAGGAGTACAGGGACCCTACCTGACTTGACTAATAATGCTTTGATGAAAGCATTCCATTTATTTATTATTAATTATTGATCAATAAAGACCTGTTATTTGGCAGGGTGTGGTGGCACATGCTTGTAATCCCAGCAGCTTGGAAGGCTGAGGCAGGAGGATCATGATGTTTAAAGCCAGTCTCAGCAATAAGTGAGGCACTAAACAATTCAGTGAGACCCCTGTCTCTAAATAGAATACAAAATAGGGCATGGGCTGTGGCTCAGTGGTCAAGTGCCCGAGTTCAATCCCTGGTACCCAAAACAACAACAAAAACAAAAATACCATTATTTGGGTGAATTCAACATAACAGTATCTTGCACAAGCAGACATACCATAAATGGAAACTCTTGTGAGTATTAAAGGACATAGTTCTTTTTTTCAGGATATTGTCACCTTGCCTCTCTGTGCACTAACTCTTCCTTCTCACCCTCTACACCTGCTTTTCTTTGCAGCTCTGGCTGCCTGCAAAGGGAAGAGTGTGCTTCTTTCCTCCCTGGTCAAAAATCTCCTCACACCCAGGGAGGCTGTGTCCAGGGTCATGGGCCTGGGCTCTCCTTATCACCAGCTGCTTGTCTCCCAAGGTCTAACTCTGCTGGCAATTCATGGTTTACTACTCTCGTGGCAGATGGGTAAGACACACTTAAGACTTTATGGTGGGGTGCATTACCACACTAGTCTCACACCATAACCTCCACCCAACCACCAGTCATAAAATGAGATCAAGCCCACCCCAGGCTAGCTCAGTCTGGACAGAAAGTGGTTCTGCTTCTGAGTAAATGGAAGGGACCAAGGAGCTAGAAGGCTCATCACAGGTCTACCTTCCTTTTTTATTTTTAAAGTACTAGGAACTGAACCCATAGGAGTTTTACGCTGGCTACATCCCCAACCCTTTTTATTTATTTTGAGACAGGGTCTCACTAAGTTGCTGAGGATCTCATAAAGTTACTTAAGTTAGCTCAAATTTGGAATTCTCATTCCTTAGCCTCCCAAGTCACTGGGATTACAGGTTTGTGCCACCACCCGTGGCCATAAATCTACCTTCCTACTGCTTCTATTCCTGCTCCACCTGATTGATAAATAATAATCTTTTCAAAGAAACATTTAGGCCATAGATGTATGGAAAAGGAAGACAAAGATGAAGTATACCAATATCTTCCAAACCTGCCTAATTCAAATAACCCAGAATCATTAAATAGCAGTTGTAATGCTTGTTTTAAAAATGCAAATTTATTCTTTTTGGGGAGATACCAGGGATTGAACTCAGGGGCACTCGACTACCAAGCCACATCCCCAGCCCTATTTGTATTTTATTTAGAGACAGGGTCTCACTGAGTTGCTTAGTGCCTCACTTTTGCTGAGGCTGGCTTTGAATTCGAAATCCTCCTGCCCCAGCTTCCCAAGCTGCTGGGATTATAGGTGTGTGCCACCTTGCCCAGCCTAAATTTGTTCTTATATTAGATCAATCTATCTACCAAATATATCAATTATATTACTGATGTAATAGAGCACAGCTTAAGAATGTGAATTTCACCTTGGCTTATGCATAATTTTATCCTTGAGAAACACTAAATAAAAGCAGGAAAAACTAGCCAGCTGAACTGGGATCAGTATAAAGGCACAATATATGCAAACCTCAAATAGCTATCAGCAACTTTGTTCACTTGTGTGATGTCCCATATCTCTTCACATCTATTTCTATGTGTACCAGTTTTTTTGTGTGTATGTGCATGGTATTGCAGCCTGAACCCAGGGGTGCTCTACCACTGAGCTACACCCCTGCCCTTTTTATGAGAAAGAGTCTTGCTAAGTTGCCTAGGCTGGCTTTAAGCTTTTGATCCTACTATCTCAGCCTCCAGAGTTTCAGGGATTATGGACGTGTGCCACCAGCCTCACTTTCTTGTAGCACTTTCTGAGAAAACTCTTCTTCCACACACCAACTTACAAATAACCCAAACAGCAACCCTCCTGACACCTGTTTCCATAAGCAAACTTCAGGTCTCTGTCAAGATAAAGTGCCCAACTTATTGGTGCATTATGCATTTCTTAACCATTTAACATGTGCAAAACTGTGTTATCATTTATTATTAGATTATTATATTTCTGTGATATTGCTGACCAGTTCTTTTGAATATTGTATACCAACACCATTTCCCCAGAGATGCTATGATTTTTACGACACAGGTTTCCTTAGTATGATTGTTTGTAGAAATGCACATTGGAGCCCTCCCTAGATTTGAGACATCCTAAATCAGAATCTTCATGGAGGAACCAGGTGGCAAGGATCTAGATTGTTAATAAGGCTTTAGCTATTTCCTATGGTCAAAGGTATCGGATAATTCCTGTTAGAGTGGTCCCAAAACTAATCAATTTTGTTCAAAGCACTTAAAAACTAACATAAGGAAGTATGTCAGAATAGCAACACCTAAGGCAATAGAACTGCGGGCCTTGATAATTTTACACAGGAACATAGCACTCTCATAACAGAATTCAAGAAAGGTACAGTGGTGCACACCTAAAATTCTAGTGACTTGGGAGGTTGTGGCCAGAGGATAGCAAGGGTGAGGCCAGCCTGGGCAACTTAGAGAGACCTGTCTCGAAATAAAAAATAGAAAAGGGCTGGAAGTATAGCTTAGTGGTAGAGCACCTCTGGATTCAATCTCTAATACCAAATAAATAAACAAATAAAAATAACAGCAAAATTCAACATGGAAGTTGCTTATGTCGCCACCATCCCCACAGCCCTCCCACAAACACCAACCCCCAATCCTTTCTGGAGGCAGAGTCAGAATTTTTCACTTACCCTATTCAATGGAAAAGGAACCTACTATTTGGAAAAGTGAGGTGATTTTTTCAAGGTCTCTCACAACCAGAGGCAAGGTGGTAACTCAAAGTCAGGGCTGCTCTGCCCAACACTTTGCATAGACCCACAAACCCCCAACCCTGTCCTCACCTCTTTCTGGGCCACCTGGAAGGGGATGGCCTTGCGCATGTGCTGCCGAGTGATGCCGCTCCAGCGAGTGCGGTAGTCAACGATGGGCATCTCAGGCCGAATGTACTTGTCATAGAGGACGTCACCATGGTAACTCACCACAGAGCAGCGGGCCAGCTCACTCACCCGCCCTCGGGGTCCTGTGCCCACCATCTCACAGTCAATAGCTACACACTTGCTGGGCAAGGGCCCTGAAGCTTCCCTGGAGGTGAGCCTTTTGCTATATGGGCCACCACTGCCAAATTCAGCCCTGGGATGCTGCCTCCCACTGCCAGCAGCTTCAGCGCCTGACAGCACCTCCAATGGGGCAGGCAGCAGGGAGGAGCCTTGTTCCGGTGGCATGGTCAGCAGTCCCTGTTCCTGTAGCAAGGCCTTTCGGGCCATGAAGCGTTGGTACTGTCGGCTCCTCCTCTTGTGCCTTCTTCGAACCACATCCCTGGCACTGGGGTTGGTAAGGGACAGGCATGGGCACTGAGCAGACTCAGGGGCTTCCTCAGGTACCATGCCAGTCAGCTCCGAACTCAGGGCAAGGGAAGCCTGGGAAGCAATCTTTCAACCGGGTGGCAGCCTGGAGAACACATAAGCAGAGGAGGTGTGTGAGGAGTGTACCACGCAGTTCTTCCTCTACCCTGCAGTGCTGCATAGCTGGGCTGCCCTAGAGTGGAGAGCTCAAGGCACCTCATCAAGTCCAGGACCTACTTTATTAAAAACTGTACTCTTACATAAACAAATACCAGGTGCAAATCACTGCTCTAAGTACTGCATGGACTCGCTCCATCTCTCCAATGACTGGGCAAAGTATTATCACCCTTGTTTTATAAGGAAAAAAAAAAAAAAAAAAACCTGAAGCATAAAGGCTAAGGAATTTAGAAAGACATACAGGCTAATGAGAATCCCAAACCTATATTCTCAACCTCAAGCCACAGCTCACCTCCATATTATTTTACCCAAGAATTTTAGAGGTCCAGTTATAGGGAAATAAAATTCATAAAAAAAGTATTCAAGTTGAGCATCCCTAATGCAAAATCCAAAATCTGAAACTTTTTGATCACTGACAATTATACTGTGAACAAGGCACAACAGGATTTAACCTGGATCTTTATAAAACTGTATATAGCATATATACAGCAGGGGCTCAATAGCTATCTGCTTCCTTCTTCCCAGAGAAGCTAAGATTCTAGCCCATGGTTGATAACCAGATATTCTCAGGTCAGTTTCTCTGCCTGTACTCACTGCCTTTCCTATGCCTCCCTCTGACCATTTTACACCCAGCTGCTGCATTACCCAGAAGCCGTTATCCCACATGTCACACTAAGACTTTCCGGGTCCCAATGGTGCCAGGTGCTGGGCAGTGTTATAAAGATGGTCCTAGACTCTGAGGAATCTAGTCTCACCAGAGCAAGGGAAATGAAGTAGACAGTGTGTTAAGGGCTGGATTAGAGGCACTGGAACGAAGGCTGAGACAATAGGCAGAAGGAGGATTCATGGATGGCTTCCTGGAAGAGGTTATATCTATGTGATGAACAGTAGTAACCCTCCAAGTAGAAGGGAGAGGATTAAGTGGAGGGCAAAGGCTTGACAATGGAGTAGCCCACAGGTGAGGTTGAGGGACCCACCAGCCACTTGATGCCACTGGAGTGTAAAGCATAAATGGTGGTAGCTGAGTGCGCTACTCCATTTTACCACTTTATCTTCTGCCTCCAACTTTGGTGGCCCTTCCACAAAGCATCCCTACCCCAGGCTGGTGTCCCCAGGCTGTTTTCTGCTGGTTAAGAGAATGAAAGAGCCCCAGAGGCACCTAGAAAAGTTACTGAAATGTTGCTCAGTATCCCTGACCCACAGCATTAACTGTCTAGTTGAGGAGCAAAAAAATTCACCCTGTGCCCTGTGCTGGCTGCATGGGGAAATTATTTTACTCCTCAGTAAGTTACATGGTCTAACTCAGGGCTCTCTGAAGGTAGGGACAGAGCTCTGTTTGTCTCTGTCCCTTCTCTAACAAGTCAGCCTAAAACCTGGATTGTTATAGGCCACCATCTTCAGAAGCTTCCTTGAAGGAAACTCAAGCTGGGCCTACTATTAGCCAGACTGTGGGGACTAGAAAGCTGGAGGTGACTAAGTTCCCTAGGACACAATCACCTCTAGGGAATTCGTGGCTTGGTAGGGATACAGAGAGTTCAAAAGTTATAAGGGCATGCTCAGGATGGGAGTGATGGTTGAAAAGGAAGGGTACCTGGTAGCTTAGGCAAGCACAAAACAAGCAGAAGACCTGGAGTAGGGAATGCCTGGCAGTGGAGGGGACACTCTGCAGTGTTTTAGACAAGTCATCCAGGGAACTCAGGAATAAAAGGACATTCAGAAAGAGAAATCACAGGCACAAAGCCCAGAGCCAAAAGCACACCCACTGAGGGAGGGCAAAGGGTTCAGTGCAACAACTAAAAAGCCAGGAGGTAGACAGCCAGGAGAAAAGTGAGTGGGGATGGCAAGAAAACTGTTCCTGGAGAGTGAGTACAAGTTTGGGCTTAATAAAAAATTGATGGGGAAACACTGAGGGTTTTAGGGAGAGGGTGAAAGAAATACACCTGCCTTACAGGAAAAAAAGCCTGGATTTGATTAAGAGCAAAGGTTTAAAGAAATGGGAAGGGGGCAGGAAGTGAAGTGCCAAGTTTGCTGATGCCTGCATTTGCATGAGGATTCCTGGCACCTAAGCCAGGGCGAGGCTTGATGACCCCATCCTGACTCATCTATCCTCAGCTGTTCATGGCTTCCACAAGAAGCGCTCTCCTTTTAAAAAAAGGCTTTTAACTGTAAGCAACTCCCTCATACTGACAAAACACACCTTAGAATTCAGAACCTCAATTTGCCTTAGCCTGGCAATGCAAGAAAACCTGGCCCAATGAGACCTACACCAGTAATTGACTTCTGGGTGGAAGTGAGGAGCTTTCCCCTCCTCTACTTGGGGTTGAAAGCTCTGTGGGTCAGGAGCTGAGACCGTGGTTAGAGTAGCTTTCTTGATCCTGCTGGCAAGGTTTTAAAGAAGTCAAAATTCGATTCCCTAAGAAAAGGTCTCTATGGCCTTGTTCCAAGAGAAAACAACAGTCCTTTTCCATATATCCTGGTCTTGATGACATGTCACAACCAACAATCATCATGGGCACATCTTGGGACCCCAGATGTTTATAGCTGGGGATAAGTTTCGCTCAAATGGCACAATCCTTCAGCAAAGACAAATACAAATTCGTTTTCCAGCCTGGATCCAGGGCTCTGATGTCAGCTCAGACACGTGGCCCTCGGATTAGGAGTCCCAAGTCTAAGGGAAGGGCCTCAGCGCAGAGTCCTCTTAGTACAGGCCCCATAGGAACCACAGAGTCAGAATCATCAGCGGGCAGATCAGGAAGGAGCGAGCAGTCCTAGACCCTGCCTTGGGTCTAGGACTACATGACCTCGGGCAAACCCAGGGCTTCTTACTAGGTTAAGGCTTCGGAAAGACAGTTAATTACTCGAAACATGAGGTTTGTTACGCTGCCGATTCTCAGGCCTATTCCCACCCAGTCTGAACTGCCCTTTGGCGACCTGGGACCGAGAATCTGTTTTTTAAAACCGCCTGACCCCACCCCCAAGCTATGATTCCCCAAATCGCCAAATATGAGAAATACTGGCTCACTAAGGTTCCCCGCTTTACTACAAACTTCTCGGGATCAAGAAAAACAAGGCGAAAGAAACACCACACGACCTCGCCGTCCGCTGGGCGTTCTCCGCGGCAAGACGCGAGGGAGGCCCGGCCATACCGGGAAGGGCTCGGGCGTTAGGCACTTACTGGCCGCCGCGTCCAGGCCGAGTCGGGATGAGGGAGGCGGTACCCAGGCCCGGCCCCCGTACCTGCCCGCCCGAAGCGTGTGGTCGGCGGAGGCTAGGCGCCCCTACCCCACCGCGACCGCCAGCGGCCCTGGACACGCCGCGCCAGCCCGCCCGAACCGGCAACGCTGACCAGGGTCCTAGTGCTCACCTGAAACCGCGGACGTCTCTTCCGGCGAGCACGTGGCGCCCAGGCAGCTGGCAGCTCCCGCAAGCCCGGGCAAGCCCGGCTACGGCTGCCCGCCCATTGGCTCACTGGAAGCAGCGCCCGCCTAAGACCTCTTCTGATTGGCTGAGCCTGCCCAGATGCGGTAGGTGTTCGGAGTCGAAGGGCGGGAGCTCGCGGAGAGGGCGTGTCCGAGCCGCCGGGTGGGAGGGCAGTTTTAAAGAGAACTCGGCAGAGCGTGCATCAGCTCCGGGTTCCAACCCACCTTGCTGCTAGAGTGGAGATGGTGTTTCTGTGAGCCAGTTCGTTCCACCCAAGGCCGAGTAAATTACAGTGTACACCCATATCTGCAGAATGAGAGCAGCAGTCACTGCCTCCTCCAGAATTACGGAGATTGAGTGAGATCATAAAAGTACACCGATGAGCTCCATTTACTTCCTGTGCACTACTTTTTCATTTATTCTTTTGTAATTTCACTCGTGTAGGGAAGACTTAAATTTACTCTTTTCCTTCTGTAGCTTCAGTAAGTATACGTGTGGAATAAACTGAAAATAGGTACAACAGGAAGAACCTACAGATCGTATTTTTTGCTTGAGACAGGGAAGCCTGAAAATACAAGATGACTGAACCCTATGTGGCGCTCCTATGGATGAGGGTTTGTGCTCCAGGGGGAAGGAAGGTGGTATGAAAGTTTCGGGGGAGGAAAGTTGTGCACAGCAAGCAACTGTTTTCCTGTTATGCAGAAAAACTGGTTAGAGCCACCAGTTCCTGCTTAACCCCTACCCCTTCCCTTGCCCCAGTCTTCCTGTGGAAACATCCCTCCTAGGTAGAAAGTGGAATATCCCATAGGAATGCCTCTGTCTGAATATCTTGTTTACTAATATTGATAAATGTAAATTTCTTTTACAAAAGGATGGCTTTTCAAACATTCATGTGACAGAATTGGGGTGATTGTGGAAATTTGAAGATTCTCTCATACAATGAAATGCTGTATGTTTATTTTGATCTTGTCTACCACTAATAATTGCAATACATCTCAATCTGGAAGGGAAAAAAATGAACATCGAACCTTATGTTTACAAAGTTTTTTTCAGTTAGCAAATTTAAATTTATTGACATCATTTTGTGGGAGAAATGAGTGGATGCATCATAAAATATTGCCAAGCATGAAAATATATTATGGTTGGATTAAACTTCATAACAGAAGTCGAATGTAAATTCAAGGAGAAAAAAAAGCATGTTGCATCTAATGTCAAGTCAGAAACAAATCCAGATTTATTTGAAAGTATTATTTTGGGAATGGAATGGGGAATGGTGAGCTGAGCACTCTGGCCATGATCTCTCCATGTTCCCAAGGATAAGACAAAAAGCATTTCTTTTTTTTAGGGAAGTGTAAACAAAAGCTAGAAATGGGATGAATAGAAGTGACATGATGGGATAGTAGACAGGAGAATGTTTTATTTGGGGACCATACTATTCTTAGGAGGCTGTTAAGGAGGGATTGTTTAGTGGTTTAGACTGAGAGAGGGCCAAAATTGGGGGAACATGGGAAAGGGAGAGAGTCAAAAGCTTAATTAAAGTTTAGTCATCCATATTGTTTCAGTTATTCAGTGGGCCAAGCAGTTCATGAGATCACTGATGAAGTCAAGAATGGGATCCCAGGCACTCAGAAAATAGGAGGAGTGCAAGTTCAAGACCAGCCTGGGCAACTTAGATCCTGTTTCAAAATAAAATAGGACTTGAAATGTGCTCAGCATCATCAGAGGCCACAGTGGGGAATCCATGAGTTTTATCTTAGTTGGAGAAGGGTGTTTCTTTGTAGTAATTCATTGCTAACACAAAAGGGTGAGGGGTGGGTTTCTTAACCATTGCTGTTTTTGAGGAGCACAGGTGCTTTGAGTAAAATTAACATTGTCAGTAAGAACAGTTATTTCATATACTTTAAAAAAGGATAATGTTAGTATATGTGCAAAACCAGGGCTGCAAAGGCCCCAATGTATGATTTTTGATCACAAAGAAAGAACTTCTGGACATTTTATTACTTATGTACTCTTTGGAAGTAGCAGGCCTGGATACAATGGAGGGCTGCACATACAAGCAGGAGAATATATCTACAAGAGAGATTGAATGCCTACTGCACGCATGGGTTTCTTCGTATGTTTTATGAGTGTGTGACTCTGTTTCACAACCAAGATCATTCTGCTTCGATCCCTACCTAAAGACTGGAGATGAGGGAAATGGTCAGCTTCCTTCCTTCTTGCCCCTCACAACACATTCTTGGAGGTCCTTCTTAGTTCACCTTCAGAAACAACAAACCTTCTTGGCACTGACTAGTGTTTACCCCAACGGTATCAAATCACTACCTAATTTAGAGGTGGTTGCATTCCTTTGATGTATTTCTTAAGAAGTCAATATTTAACTGGGTGTGGTGGCACATGCCTATGATCCCAGCCACTCAGAAAATAGGAGGAGTGCAAGTTCAAGACCAGCCTGGGCAACTTAGATCCTTTCTCAAAATAAAATAGGACTGGGAATATGGTTCCTGGGTTCAATTCCCAGTGCCTCAAATAATAATAATAATAATAATGACACCTTCATAACTACTCAGTTATGATAATAATATTATCAAGCAAAAAGTTTGAAGCCCCAGGTGTTCAATAAGGATGTTATCTTGACTGTGGATGGCAGTGCTCCTAGTCCTGCTTCCTTAGGAAAACCACTGATCTCGACTGCCCACTCCTGTACTGGAAATATCCCTTCCTTCCACTTCTCTAGGGACCTTACAATCTGGAAGCACTTGAGAGGTAAGACTTGATTTGTTTACTTATAAAACATTATGCATGAACTGCTATTCTTGCTGCTATGTATACCTATTGTGAGAATATTCTGGGCACTGTGGGGATCCCCATGGTGCTGAACCAAATGCAGACCTGAAATTAGTTGTTGATCTGGTCTGGGGGCTTTTTTGTTTGTTTTTGATTTTTAAATTTTCTTTTTAAAAAATTATTCATTTATTCTAATTTGTTATCCATGACAGCAGAATGCATTTTGATTCATAGTATACAAACAGAGCACAATTTTTCATTTCTCTGGTTGTACAGAAAGTAGAGTCACACCATTCTTGTCTTCATACATATACCTAGTGGTCTGGTTTTTTAGAGCAACAGTTTTCTAAGTGTGGTCCTAAACCAACAGCATAGGCTTGACATGGGAATTTGTTGGAAAATCAGGAGGTGGGGCCTAGCAATCTGTCTTTGATCAATCTAACAGCTGATCCTGATGCAGGGCTGTGTTTAAGATCATTGTGTTAGCCAGGCATGGTGGCACACACCTGTAATGCCAGTGACTCAGGAGGCTGGGGCAGGAAGATTGCAAGTTCTTGAGGCCAGCCTGGGCAACTTAGAGAGACCCTATCTCAAAAAATAAGAAGGGCTGTGGATGTGGCTCAGTGGTAGAGCACCTCTGAGTTTAATCCTTAATATCTTCCCCACCCAAAAAGAAAGAAAAAGATCCTTTGTGTTACAGGGTATGAAGCTGACTAAACTCTGGGAGCTAAATGTAAATCACTCATTTTATCCAAGCAATTTCCCCTCTCTTAGCTCTCTTGACCCAACAGTGGCCAGATTTTGGACATAAACTGTCAACAAAACAATTGTGCCACTTTTATACACTCAACTCTTGAAAAGTCTCAAGATTCTTAGACCCAGGTGAATCTCGAATTGTTAATTTTTTAATGGAAATCGGACAGATTCAACCCAGGGAAATTTCTATGCTAGTTTCTCCACATATAAAAATTACTCCTTCAATCAGTGGTCCTCAGTCTCAACTGAACATGAGGAACTTTAAAAATTACTGGAGCTCGGGTCACACCCCAAGGTTCTGATTTAATCAGTTTGGGGTGGAGCCTGAACAGGGAAATTTTCTTTTTTTTTTTTTTTTTTCTTTTTTTTTTAAAGAGTGGGGGAGAGAGAGAGAGAGAGAGAGAGAGAGAGAGAGAGAGAGAGAGAGAGAGAGAGAGAGAGAGAGAATCTTTTAATATTTATTTTTTAGTTCTCGGCGGACACAACATCTTTGTTTGTATGTGGTGCTGAGGATCGAACCTGGGCCTCACGCATGCCAGGCGAGCGCGCTACTGCTTGAGCCACATCCCCAGCCCCATTTTTTTTTTTTTTTTTTAATATTTATTTATTTTTTTTTTTTTTAGTTTTCTGCGGACACAACATCTTTGTTTGTATGTGGTGCTGAGGATCGAACCCAGGCCGCACGCATGCCAGGCGAGCGTGCTACCACTTGAGCCACATCCCCAGCCCAAACAGGGAAATTTTCAAAGCTGGTCCGTTCTGTTGCATTGCTGACAGAACTGCGACTAAAGAAGTTACCTAGAGAATCCAGCAGAGGGCGTCACGTCCATGCTTATCCGGGAAACCTGATAGCTGCAGTAAAGGACCAGGCTGCCGCATCGCTGCGGTTAAGGCTAGAAACTCCTGCCCTGACCCTGGCGTCCCCCGACCCTTTTGTGTTCTGGGATTCCTAGAAAGTTACTTTGCTGAATGACTGAGAGGCAAGTCGTGACCTCTCTAGTCCTTGATTTCTGTGTTTTTAAGATGGGAAGGGATTTGGCCTCCCTTCCTTCTTTCATTGTATATTGAACACCTTGAAATGGACAAGATGCTGATTTGAGGAAGGGAAGCATCAACACTGAAATGGATAAAACTCCTACATAAGAAGGGAGACTAGTAGTGAGATGGTAGTTTCCATCTGTTCCTATTTCAGGAAAGGAGACCTGTGGTACCCAAGGATGGTAAAGAAGACAACCAGGAACAATATAAAAGAGGAGGCCGAAGAGACCGAAATATGGAGACCTTGTATACCTTCATGTATTATGACACCTCATTTGCCTAATTGTCATAATGCCTAGCAAAGTGATCTAGTTCATTTTACAGTTGAAGAATTCAAGGCTCAGGGATGTTAAGTGATTGGCTTAAAATCACACAGCTGTTAAGCAGTAGTCAAAATTGAAACTGGGGTGTGTTTGACTTAACAGGGACTGTCTTATCCATCTCTCAAATTAGGAGTGTACTCCACTTCCCTCCCCAGATGTGTTAGCAAAGAAGGATTTCTTCCCCTTCCTTTCCACACCAGCCCTGGATACCGAGGGGTGCCTGGAAGAGATTCCACTCTGTTCCCTAGCTCTGCCCATCTTGTCCATCAGACCCCTTTCCCCCTGTGAAGGACAGACACCTGCTGAGTGACACCAATTTGCAGACTTCTTAAGTGTGAATGAAATTTCTAATAGGACTGGCTGCCCACAGGTTTCAGGCAGAGTTAGAAATAAAGAGAAATGCAAGAGGCAGGAAATGGGACCGAAGAGAGCTTGTTTGGAGGAACAGCGGAGGCAACAACAGCGGGAGCCTCTGGGTGGAAGTGAAGGTTCAGAGAAGTTAAGTACCTTTCCAAAGGTCATACAGCTAGCAAGCAGAGACGCTGTGTGAGCTCAGTTAATGGTTGCATTTTTTAGCCTTCCCTAAAAATGCACAATTCCCAACCCAATTTAAGTTTGTAAGTTCTCTGCTGCATGGGTAGAAGAGGAGGGTAGGAATAGACTGGAAAGGAAGAGGGAGGGCCTTTGAGTTTATTGCTTGAGAAATGTATCTCCACCTAGCGTCTCAGTATTGGGTTTGGTGCCTGCAGAGGGGCAAGGTGGTTTCCAAGCACAGACATCAAGAAAGGTTCCTAGTGGCTCAAAAGGCTAAGACAGGAGGATCACAAGTTCAAAGCCAGCCTCAGCAACCAAAAAATAAATAAGTAAAAAGGGCTGGGATGTGGCTCAGTGGTTAAGCACCCCTGGGTTCAATCCCTAGTAGCAATTTAAAAAAAAAGAAGAGGAGGGGGAGGAGGAAAAGAAAATGAGAAAAGAAAAGGCTGGGAAATGGTTACTCTGATCACTTTTGCCACAGTCAAGGCACTGGGTTTCCCCATCCTAGTTTTTCGTCTTCGTGACACCTCTGAGCGTCAGGACAGAAGCAGATTCTGGGGCAAAGAAATTCCTTGCACACAAGTCCATGGCCCTCTGGCTTCACAAGAGGACTGGGCAGGTCTGACCAGCTCCATGTGGACCAGAACCAGGTGTGTTGTCCACCTTGCCTGGGCACTCAGCATCTGGACACCTCCGCATCATGAGCACGTGCCCCTTTGTGCCAGCACTCGCTGTGGCTCTCTCAGGCCAGAATCCACCTGGCCTGTGAGTCCCATGGTGGGGACTCTTACATGTTTGTTGTGTTAATGGGTGAATAATTAAGGGGGATTCTTTCTCCTTGCCCTGTAGTTGGGATGCAGAAGCAGCCAGGGCACTGTGAGGACAGACTCCGTCCCCTCCCCTCACATACTATAGACCATCCTTGTTTCCCGAGGAGTCTGCCTGGGCACAGGGGCATGCCAAGTGGTTTCCTGTGGTGGTTTCTAGGAGACATAGAAGGCACAGGAAGGAACCTGTGGAAGGACAGTCAGAAAGGGGGCCCCGCCCATGCCCTGCACCCTGCTGCTGGGGCCAGCACCATGCGGTAGACTGGGACTTGTTGTTGAGAGGTTAAACAACAACAAAATCACTAGTCTTCCAGATGGGGCTAACCGGTCCTTAGCCTTGGCAGCCACCCCACTCCCAGTCTTGGACCCACCAGGGGTGGGGGTGGGCTAGCCCAATGGACACTCCTGCAAGGACGGCCAGCATTTGCCCCTTCTCCCATTACCAAGTTCATCTCTTCTCATTGCTCCTCCCTTGTTTCTGCACAAGACAGGGAGAAATTTTCTTACTATTTTTTTTCTTTTTTATACTGGGGTATTCTATTTTCTATAATAAGCATATTTCCTGTAATAATGGGAAAATCTTATCTTTAGAGGGAAGCAGACAGGTATCTCATTTTCTCTACCTTCATGAATCATAAGGCACTTTACTGTTCCAGAAAAGGGGGGAAAAAAGAAAACTCCAGATAATGGTGGCCCCCACCACAGGTCCCACCTCCCACTCCTTCAGGTTTACTTAATTCAAGGTGAAAATCCTCCCGGGGGTTAAGTCTCACTGTGGTGCCCTGGGAATGCAGGGCAGAAATGGGAGGAAGAGGGAAATGATTGTGGGTATCGGGAGGCTGGAACCCCAGCCCAGGCATCCCCTCCTTGAAGGCATAGGCTGAGTCCCCTGGTTCATTTCTCCCGCAGTGTGACACTGATGGAGGAGTGGCGAGGCCCTCCCCGCCTGGGCCAGCCTCTAATTGCACTGGCAGGGCACATCCGCTCCTTAATTAGCAAAAGCCACAATATCCTGGCAGCCCAGAGAGCATGGCCCTAATTGCATTTCTGCAGCAGCTGAGGGATAATTACCCTTCCCTATTGGTGCTTTTAATTCTTTAGCTTCTTAATTGCGAGCTCTTCCTCTTGAGTCCACCCCTCCACCCTTCGGTTGATTTTTCCCATCCAGAGTGGGGAAGGGCTTTCCTGGAGATGGAGAAATTGAAGGTCTGGGGAGGGATGATGTGGAGAATGTTAGCAGCACCAGCTCCGAGGCCAGCCCCTTCCAGCCATCAGCCAGAAACTGGGCACAGTCTTGTGTGGGTCTGAGAAAACGCCAGGAAGTTCTTTCGCACCTGGCACGCTGGCGGGTGCCTGTGATCCAGGTGACTTGGGAGGCTAAGGCAGGAGTATTGGAAATTCCAGGCCAGCCTGGGCAATTTAGTGAGACCCTATCTTAAAAATAAAAAGGGCTAGGGGTGTAGCTCAGTGTTAAAGTGCCTGTACGTTCAATATATAGTATCACCAAAAAAAAAAAAAGTTTGTATATGGGAAAAGTATCCCTCCCTAGAAGGATAAGACCTTTTAAGCTTCAGGGAGCCAAGTCTCACCCCTTCCCCATTTAATCCATCATGGGACAGCAAGGAATATATTGTCAAATTTCTCTTAAAATAAAAAATAATAAGCTGTGTTTCCTCAACACTGTTGAGAGAGAGCTAGTACATCAACCTTGCTGTGTTATTTCACAAACAGACTCAAGCCTAGGACTAGAGAGCAAGTCTAACTAGGGTGTAAGGTACTATTAGGAGAGGTTAGTCCCCTAGTCCTTTAGGAAGCTTGCAGATGAACTTCAGGTGGTAATAAGCTAAACAGTCTCACAAAGGGGATTTGGAGAGAGTCTCTGAAGCTCTCTGGATACCACCTTACGGGCCGCCTGTCCACAAGAACAACCCTGGCTTGAAAGTCATCAGCAGGTGACTTCCCTGTTCTAAGCTCCCCCTGCTTAGCACACAGCCTGGCCCTTGATGTATGAAATAGTTGGCAAAGAGGCAAAGTTCAGACAGAGTAGGATTCTGTGATGTGAAAAGAATAAATCCATTTTCCTTGGCTTTTTATATACAAAGCCATTGAAGATGGACTTGAGTTGATGATAGCACTGGTTTTCTAAAATTTCTAAAAGTCTTTAACCTGGGTTGAGGAAAAATCTAAATATTGGAAAGAAAAGATAATACTGCGATCATCTCAGAGAAATGTACCTTGAAACAGTGACCTGCCCTTGAGCCCACCAAGTCCCACTACCCACTTCTAGTTTCCTTCCTCTGAATTTAGAGCTGTCCCCTTAGCAACGCGTGTTTCCATGGTTTCCTCCATGACAACGATTCCCCAACCCCTCCTCTCTTTTGCTTCATGACATTAATGGGTGATAGGGATCCTCAGTGTGGCCACTCCACGTAACCATGGTAACAATTAACTGAACCTTCATTTATCTTTTGTGAAGAGGACTAGGGAATATGAAGCTTTTGATTTGGAGGGGGAGGCAGAGAAAAGGGTGGGCCCGGGGCTAGAGCTGTCATTTTCATAAAGAGGAGGTTAAAGGACTTGTCCTAATACTAATTGGTCTAGTTCATACATGTGTTGAACCTCTAGTTTAAACATGACTAAGCTCTAGGGAATCAAAGGTGACAAGATATAGCCCCTAATCTTGAAAAGTTGATAATCCAACACTGAAGCTCCCGGTCCCGCTGAACTCAGGTGGACTCCTTTAGGAGGTGGCTCCTGATAGCAACATCATAATCAGGCATCTGTTTGCTCCTAGCATCTCCTCTCGCAGCTACCAAAACAAGACTGCCAAACAAGACTGCATGCGTACTCACATCGAGACTTCTTCAAGGCTGTTATCAGAGAGTTTGCCCTGGAAGGAACTGTGACTCCCCTTTCTCTTAGAGAAGAGGGAACAAGTGCCTATCCCCCTAAATAGTGCACTTGGTGCAGGGAGAAGGAAAATTAATAAACAAACAGACCTGTCCAACTCCAATGCTACAAGGGACTGGGATGAGCTTTAGTTCCAGAGATCACCAGTACTTACCTGTCAAAGCCTTCCTGGGAAGTGGCTGCTCTGCTTTTATACTGAATTAGAAGGCTGTCATCTCCATCTATCCAGCTTTTCTACTTGTCAGTGAAAATTCAGGCCAAAAAGGACAGCTGCAAAGAATGAAAGTGGAAAGAAAAAGAAAAGGTAAAATAACCATGGGACACTGAAGCGGAGTGGAGTGAATCTAAAAGTTGGGATACCTGTTTGTCATAGTTAATGCTGTTCTTCCCTCTTCTGTTTGTCCTCACCCCTGGCTAATTCTGAGGACCAATTCTGCACTTCTAGGGGAAGTCACAAAAATCCCTGGGTCCCTATATGCTGATACCGATAACCTGCTCTGACTTGGAAAGATGATCATGATGTACCATAAAATAAAATTTTAAAAAGCCACGGAGCAATGTATTATGCAAGTATGTACAAGTAGCTAGGTAGAAAGGTTCATCTTTGCAAGTCAAACACAATCTGAACTAACCCAGGTAAATCCCAGATCTTGGGTCCCAGAACTCAGTTCTGTCCTTTGCTTCTGAATAGAACTAAGGCAGATTCAATCATTCTGGGTACCCTGTTCACTCAGCTACTCAGAAAAGGATAAATGGCATCCTCTTATTGGTTAACAAGGCAATACACAACAGCCAATAAGAGAATTGTTCTTCCTTTCTGGCCAATAAAATCTCAGTTATCTTCTTGAAAGGAAGTAAACCCTTTGTCCATAAAGAAATGAAAAGAAAGGGAATACTAATTTTAAAAAAAACTACTGTTGCTATGGGACATTACTGATGTGATCAATGATAGGCTGTGCCAAAGAATTAATAAAGAAAAGCACTTCTTTGGGGAAAAAAGTACAAAAAGCAGACCAGCTGTCTGGTCTGGTGTAAAAGGAAGTTTCTATAGTAACATGTAAGAGAAAGGCATTTTAATGTAAACGCCCCACAACTATATCTAACCTGTCCACTTAGGGCATTTTTTGGCCTTAAACTTCCATTGAAAATATAGAAATTTTTAAAAATTATATTAGCAATGGATGAAGAAGAGAAAAGGAAGAATGTTTATTTGCTGATGAAGGGCATTACAGACAAAGAGATAATGGTCACTATCTGAAACATGGAGATCTTCTCCTTCCCTGCATTATTAAGTGATAATTCAATTTAAAACAAGGTTTTGTTTTAGAAATAGAAAGCTATCAGCTCTTTAATGAGAAGAATTCTAGATGAAATAATGCATAGAACATAGGTCATTCTTAGTAACCTACTAATGGTTTATTCTTAAATCATTCTGAGATTGCTATGATTGCTTTAGTGAAATTATGGGTAAAATGGTTTTCCACCCAGATGTTACACATGAACACAGGCAGGTGAGATTGACAAGTCAAAAGTGGAGTCAATATTTGTCAATCAAGGGAAAGGTAAAAAATGGGAGGATTAGAAGCTCTAAGTGCTGTGTTTGCTAGTTATGAAGCCAAGGCTGGGGAAAAAGAAAAGAGAATCTTGAACAAAGTGCAAGTAATGCTAGGGACTGCTTGTTAAGAGGAAAGTGTTTCTACCTCCCTGTGCTTTCTTTGAGGTCTGTGGGAAGAGGCGATTCAAAATCCAGGTCCCTTCCCTTGCAAAGAGGTGTTTGCAGGAGATGACTGACAAACCAAGGAGAAAATCTCTCTGCAGTAGACCGCCTTGGACAATATGCCTGTTTCCCTCTTGTTTAACCCATGAAGAACAAGCCTATGGGGGATAGGGAGGAATCAGCTTCTACAGTATAAAGAAAGAAATTGGGCAGGGGGTGCTGAGAACCAAACTGCGAATCCCAAAGAAACTACAGGGAAGGCTACAATTACTTCTGTGAAACGTGGGTGGGGTGGGGTGGGGTGGGAAGGATTGCAAGGGTATTTGCCTGGCGCCTTGAATTAAACGGAAAAAATTCACCCTCCAGGATTTCCCTGGCCCGGCCTTGTGTGCGGTGGGGGCGGAGGGGGAGTGGATTATGTGGGAGCAGTGATGACTTTCACTCAGCTAGGGGAAGGCAGGGATTCCCAGGAGACATTTTAAAGAATCAAGGTGCTTATGAATAATCAGTGGCCAAAGCCCCTCCACTCACTGTAACCAAGGCAACTGGAGGCAGGGGCTTGCAGTTGGTTGCCTGGTAACCACGCTAGTGCGGGCGTCGGGTCCGCTCTTCTCCTCCCCCACCTTCGTTAGCCCTTTTGTGACAGCTTTTTCCCTTCTGCGGCTTTTTTCATCCCTGGGAAAACAATCATCTCTGATCCTCGTACAGAGGGCATTTGGAGCTCCATTGGATTAAAAAAGAAAGAAAGAAAGAAAGAAAGAAAGAAAGAAAGAAAGAAACTTGATGTTCATTTTGGGCAAATTTAATCTATACCCAAAGGTTGGCGCCCATATAAAATGTGCATCTTACCTCAGCTTCAATATCTTCTCTATTCCACGCTTTTTCCTCCATTCACTCCCAGCAAGGGGTACGGAGATTGTGGGGAGGGAGAGGGAGAGAGAGAGGCAAAGAACTCAGATGCGGCGAGTTTTCATAGAACACCAATGCCTGGAGCTCCCAATAAACTGTCTCGCTTGCTCCTGTGCTCACCGCGTGCAGGCGCGCCTTTTCTTCCCCCACACTGCCTGCACTTGGCGCTAAATTTTTCCTCTGGTTGTAGCGAAAGGGACATGGAATGATCTCCTGGAAACCAACACAAACTCCTGGAGAAATGAGGAAGACGAGTCCTTCCTTCCTCTGCAAGCCCTATCTCACCTCCTGGCCTCCTCTGGGTTGTGTCTGAGAGATTGTAGCGAGTAGCTGGGAGGTCGAGGTCAAGTGCCAACACCTCCCAGGCTATCCGGGAATTAGGCGCTATCCAGTTTCTGATGCTGAAACTGGAATATTGGATTCGCTGGAGAGGGGTTACAGGGATTTTCAACAGTCAGATTCAGACCTCAGGCAGGAACCCGACGGGTGGAAAAGCGGGATGAGAACCTATCTGAACTAGTTGCGGTTTTGATTTTTTTTTTTTTTAAGCAGATGGGGCTCCCCTGGGAGCGATTCCCTGCGCTTCATTTCCCTTCCCATGTTAATGGGATCATTTGCTGCAGTCGCAAAGGGTGGAAAGAAGGGCCCTTCGCACCGAGATGATTACCTATTTGTTTTCCAGCACTTTCCACATCCACGTACACCCCTCCCTCGTCGGTTCTGAGCTTTCAGAGTGTTTGCAAGCACAGTCCCGGAACTCTCGGTGCACAGATCTTGTGGAACGCCGAATCTGGCCGCTTTTCTTCACGCAACAGGTCTGCTGCACCTGGAATCTAAGAAACAAGGAGTACAGGAGCGCAGCGGCGACCGAGGGCTTGGAGTGGCTGGGTTTCGAGGGCGTATATTCCCGAGGCTTGTGGGGCCGCTTCTCTCACTCCCACAGAGCAAGACAAACAGCAAAGCGGCTTCACCCCCGGGTGGATAGGAGAACTAGATGTCCCCACAACTCGAATTGGCAAGCACCAGGTTGGGGCGCTCTGCTGCCAGGCTCCAGAGCCTCCTTCCCTCCCCTTCAGTTTGGTGGCGTGCACCTTACCGTCAGCGATGCCAAACTCCGCGGTCCACCCCAACCCCCAGCCTCCCGGGCAGCCCAGGTTCGGATTAGCGAGTCTCGGCTCCAGCTAGCCGCTCCTCCAATTCGTAGCCCTTAATCTGGGGAAGGGGCTGGACAGGATCTTTAGCTGAAATTTTACCTGGCACAGATTGCTACAGCCCGGGAGAAAGATGGCTTGCTCTCCACTTTTTTTCTGGAAGAAAGTCCCCTCACCACCCTGCTGCCGGCCCATTGCTGCTCCCCAGAAAGCTACCAAGCAAGCTGCAGAGCAGGGGCGCGGAGAAAGGGATGGGGTTTGACAAGCTATCTTGTGAAACACCCCTTGAATACTTGCCTCTCTCGGGCGGTCTGTCTTATCCTAGGAGTGGCCGCGCTGCTAGAGTGGGAGGCAGGTCTGGAATTTCGGCACGATCTCCCGGTGTAGACGCAGTGGACGTGGCTGCGGGGGCTAGGGGAGAACAGCTGCTTTAAAGCCGAAACCAACCCACAGGTGGCCTGTCAGGGACACGGACGTTCATGACGTCATCCCGAAGGCGAGCGGAGGGGCGGGGGTGTCACAACTCTTCACATCAAAAGTCCCTTGTGGCCATGGTAACAGCTCCTGGGGGTCCGCGCGCGCCAGCAACCAGCTGCCAGCAGCCTATTTTTCTCTCCGGCTGATATGGCGCTCGGCTGGAGTCCCGTCGGACTTAGTTGCGAATCCAGCGAGGCCCTCACCAGTCCGGGGTCCACCTCTCAATCTCGTCCTTGGGAAAGATTAGACTCCCAGAGGGCTACCATGCAGAATCCTTCATTTCCTCAGGGACATTTCTATCCTCCTTCCACCAGACCTTAGCAGGCTGGATCTGGTTCACCTGATCTCATACAGAGGTGTTCTCCCTGAACTCAAGGATGCGAAAGCTCCGCTTCTCATACACTTTCCACCCACACTGTCCCTGGGCGTCCACACAGAACCCCCTGGTATTTCAGAAAACGGCCAACACTACGGGGGAGGGGGGCGGTGGAGAACATCCACCGATCTAGAATGCATTTGGAGGTCAAAAACTGGTGGGCAACAAACCAAATGAGACACGGAAGTATTTACCAATCTCCTACAAGATTTTAAAAATTGATTGGAAGATAACACACAGAAATATGAGTTTTCCAAATCTCTGCAATCTGGCGCTGGTGTTTCTGCCTGCTGTGGAGAAGCCCTGACCCTGGGTAGGAAGGACTGGGATCGAGACCTGCATAGGACCCCCCCTTCTCCATTTTTTATCAATGTCACCAATGCTATTCGTCATTTACCTTTTCTATTTTTTCCTATAGTAAAGAGGCCGGGTTTTGAGAGCGTACATTCCCAAGAGGAAATAAAATTGTATGAGTAGGGGAAAAAATTGTTCCCACCTCACTTACTTACTTACTTCATTGATGTTACTTCTTAGTTTTCTGTGTAAGTCTCCCCACGCTGGTCAACAGGGGCTGTCATGGCTTGGCTCAGGTGTCATTCTCCATTCACTATTGGCGGATGCCCAACAGGTCTAGCCCTGAACTAACATTCACATCTGTGCTGCTTACATCCTGACAACACAGGCAGTAGGACATTTCCTGCTAGTACCACAGGGGTTTTGTTTTAATTTTTTTCTACTTCAAAATATGCAGGTATTCGGAAACATTTAAAGATCATATTTTTCATTCATCACTCAGATATTTGGTCACAGAGAAATAATAATGATAATAATAGTAATTATTATATTCATTATTATTTTTTGTGATGCTGGAAATTAAACTCAGAGCTTCCAGAAATAACATTCTTTACATTTTTTTTAATTTAGGGAAAGCTATTTTATTTATAAATACATGGAGAAATGGAAAGAACAAAAAAATTCAAACCACTTCTAGGCTCAACTGTGTCGTTATGTAAACCTAACAGTGTTTTACATTTTCTGATTGGTAGGTTAAATATAGCTGTAAAACATATTTTCATGAACCCAACTAACCAACCAAAGTAACAATTAAAAAAATCACTACTAACACCAGGTGTCATGGCATAGGCCTGTCATCCCAGCAACTTGGGAGAATGAGGCAGGTGAGGCCAGCCTCAGCAAATTAGAGAGGCCCTAGCAAATTAGTGAGATCCTGTCTCAAAATAAAAAAAGAACTGGGGATGTATCTCAGTGGTAAAGTGCCCCGGGTTCAATTCCCAGTACTGAAGAAAAAACAAAAACAAATAAACGGAAAACCCACTACCAACTCTCTCCCACAAAGTCACAATCAGCATAGTCATTAAACAGGCATTTGAATATATGCAATGATCTCTCCCCTTTAGAATTCCCCCCAAGGAAAAATAGACTTCTATTTATATACTTGCTCTCCTGTGCAATTGTCTGGAAATATTGGTTGAAAGCAAATGTAAATTTATACTAGAGAATTCTAAATCTTACCCAGTGTGGATTATTTCTAGGCTATTTAGGAAAATGAGTGCAGGGGAAAGATCACACCATCTCCATCTCTTGGTAGGAAACAGTTAGGTTTCTGGGTAGTTAGTGTATGGAATCCTTCAGCCTTTCTTCATTTCACCAGATTTGTCTCTAACAGCACGTTTTTCTTGGAGCTATTCCATTTGGAATCTTAGAACTGTCAGCTATAGATGAAATGAGAGTAACTGTATTAATACTTTAATTCCTGTCTTTATAAAACCCTTGATATTTCACCACACATTTCACATGGTGTATCCAACTTGATTCTAAATGCTGCCCATTCTATACATGAAGAAGCAGAACTCAGACTGTTTAGTTCATCTTGAAGTACTAGGGATCTTTCTGCTGAAGAGCCCTGATTGTTTTCCTTGTATGAGTTATTGAAATTATTCATTAAGTAGAAATAAAAAAGACAATTTATAAAAATGGAAGATAGGGCTGGGGTTGTGGCTCAGTGGAAGAGTGCTTGCCTAGCAAGTATGAGGCACTGGGTTCGATCCTCAGCACCACATAAAAATAAAAGAAAATAAAGATAGTGTGTCTACCTAAAACTAAAAAATAAACATTTTTCTTAAATGGAAAGACAACTGACATACGAATATTTGGACTTGTTCTGCTTTATTTAAAATAGAGCCAGGAACAGTGGCACACTCCTAAAATCCCGGTATCTCAGGAGGCCAGACTCAGCAATTCAATGAGATCCTCAGCAACTTAGCAAGAACTTGTCTCAAAATTTAAAAAGGTATGGGAATGTAGCGCAGGGGTAAAGCATCCCTGGGCTCAATTCCCAGTACCAAATAAATAAATAAAAATAAAAAAAATATAAATCATACAAATTTGTGGTATCATTTTTCACATACTGAATTGACAAAAATAAAAATCTACTTCCTAATGCTGGAGAAGGTGTGGTAAAATAGAGGTTGTAAGTTGTATAAATTCAGTGAAAAGCAGTTTTACTAGTTGTATCAAGAGGCATATTCATGTTCACACTCTTTAGGTGGGTTCTTCTTCTGAATATCTATTCTAATTTATAAAATAATCTTAAATAGAGGAAATGCTGGATACAAAGAAGTATTATTTAGTATTTTTAAAAGTGGAAACAACAGCTGGTTACTGTGGTCCATGCCTGTAATCTCAGCAATGCAGGAGGCTGAGGCAGCAGGATCACAAGTTCAAGGCCAGCCTCAGCAACTTAACAAGACCCTGTCTTAAAATAAAATTTAAAAAAGAAAGAAAAGAAAAAGCAGAAGCAACATTAATATCCAACAATAGGGGACTGGCATATCAGCTATTGAATGGATAAAATGTTCTACCAACTCTAAAATTCATGGATGTGGAACCTATAGATATAGAGGGCCAGGTATATGCTTTTAAAAAAAATAAACTTCATAAAAGGAAACATGAATAGAGAAAATAGGCATAATAAAATGTCAAAGAAAGATATGAGTAGAATACAGAACTACCTTCATAGTTGTGATTAAAATAATGGCTTTAAAATTTTTAAAAGCTCGCATACATTAACAAAATAGAAGAGAGGTACATCAGAGTGTGATAAAGTTTCTGCTAAAATACAGAGATTACAGATGGCTTTAAAAATTTTTCCTTTTATCATGTTTCCCAAATTTTCTGAAATATGATCATGTAGTTTCTATAATTAAAAATGTAATATGATAGAAATAGGGGAGTAGAAGGTGTTTTTCAGGCATCTATTACTTATCTAGTGCTGTTCCAGATGGACATAATCAGGACAGGTGTGGAGACTGGGTCTCAGAACTGTGTAGGTCATTTCAGATCTTGCCTGGGGTATTTGGTGACCATGAGATGGTTTGAGTTTATCAGCAAAGAGCTGATAAGGGACATTTGGTTGTTAGTCAAGTCAGATACATCATCAACCCAGCTGGCCTTCTCTCCAATAAGCTTGCTTCTGTTCCTGGCATCTATTTCTCCATCACATTTCCTTCCAAACTCGAATTAATAATAATGATGATGTTAATAATAATATTTCCCTTACATTTTTATAGTGGTATTTCACGTTTTTTATGCTTTTACATACAGTATTTCATATAACTTTATGATAGCTACTACTAAAAAAAACCCTGAATTAGATGTTATATCATTTAATTACACAATTATTTAATCTCTGGTTAAGTAATTTGCCAGAAGCCACACAGCTGGTAAGTGATGGATTCATCCATAATTTGACTTCTAGACATTCCCTCCTCACAGGAAAAAGGCAGCTTAATTAGAAGTAACAATGCTCCTCCTTTCTGTTACTGTAACCAATACCTGAGATGATCAACTTAAAAAGGAGGAAAGTTCATTTTGACTTACAGTTTCAGATGTTTCAGTCCATGGTTGATTGGCAATGCTGCCTCTGGGGCCGTGGTGAGACAGCACACCAGGGCTCATGCACAGTGGGAGCAAAACTTACCACTCCTTAGTGGCCAGAAACAAAGAGAAAGGAAAAGGAGCTAGAGTCCCAATATTTCCTTCAAGGGCTTGCCCCCAATGACCTAAGACCTTCTACGAGGCCCCACCTACTACTATCACCAAGCTGAGACTAAAATGTATGATATATATATATATATATATATATATATATATATATACACACACACATATATAAAATGTACATTATATATAATGTAATATATATGTGTGTGTGTGTGTATATATATATATATATATATAATATGTATATATATATATGTAACATTGTAACATTTTTTAAGCTTGCAGTTAAGTGACATTAAGTAATATATATTTTGAGATCCAGGGGCCTAAGTTTTAGCTTGCAGACAGGGTGGCCAAAGGTAAAAAGAAGGCAAGAAGCTAGAACCAAGGCACTAGCATTAACCTAGCATAGTAGATTGATGATGTATCTGTGCCAGCATCTGTGTTGTGAAGAATGGCTGATCTCTTAAGAAAAATGGAGCAAGAACAGTTGGATCCATGGACACAGAGAACCAGTAAGGAAACTGCTAATTACTCAGACTCTGGATGTAGATTATTTTATGTTTCCC